AAGCAAATCAGATTTTTAAAAAAGCAGAATATGTAATTTTATGCTGGAGGAGGAGAAAAAGCAGCTGGCTTCAGTCACAACTTTGCAATTAATTCTCCACGCGGCACCAGATATGGAAAATGTGGAGGTGGAACAAAACTGAGCCTGGCGTGAACAAGCAGCAATTTAATTATATTTTTTTATAAGTCCTGATACTTGAAGGAGTCTCTCAGGGGAAAATGGTTGGGAATGTTAATGAACACAAAAAGATTTAACCTCTTATTACAACACTCTCAGAATATCTAATCATCTACACCACACTTTACCAAACAAATGAAGGATTTAGATTCCACAATAGTTCTGGGAACTAGTATGAAGGTTTATTTTCCTCTGAGACGGATCTTTCTCTGTAAGTAGCATTGATTCATGGTTGTAAAAATACAGCATTCTCACCAATACAGTCACAAAAAAAAGAAAGTACTCCCTCTGTGAACATTGGGAAAGTTAGGACTGATTTGCTATTTTTTCTTGTTTCGTTTTCCTATGGGCGGAGTTTGTGACTATAACTGTCACACAGGGAGTCGTTCTGAGTTTACAACGAAGGTACTGCTGTTTTTAATCTGCTCAAATTTTTTCACCCAGAACATGAGCAAAACAAACACAGTGTGAAGTGAACTATGGCATAACACATCCCCGCGACATCTATTATTAAGATTCTCATAATTTTATAACTTGGAACAGAAGTAAAAGTTGTACTTTTTTTTTTTCTTTTTACTATGTAATGAAATAGTGATGTAGTTAAAAACGAATGGATAAATAAGTAAAGATGCAGATTTTGGTTTCCTGGAGCAATTTTATCCATATGGCCCCTGAATCCTGCGCAGCTTAGCAGCAGAGCTCCAGTGAAACCTAAAGAGGCACAAAGGGGATGGAGGCGCCGAATTTCTAGGTTAAAAGGTAGCTGAAGGCTATGGTGGAAAACTGCATTCTGCAAAACAAATTTACGTCTTCACAGTGGCAGCTGAAGAAGATGGACGGTGTTTTTGTGAGCAATATCTGCCTTGCAGGTGGACAGGGAGTGGGGCGACTCAAGAGAGCAGATGCTAAAAAAAGGCTTCATCATCTCCTGACCTTTCCTGCTGCATTTCTCCCATATGAGCTCGTCACAGTTTCCTCTCGCTGTCCTTTCCCCCCTTCGTCTCTTTTCTGCTCCAACTCACTGCCGGTGCTGGTTTCTGTCTCCGTCCATCTGTCTGTCTCTCCACCTCCATCACACGGGCGCCTAACAAAGGGTTATTTGTAGTGAAGTGTCTGAATGGTACAGGAAATGAAGACGTGGAAACCACCAGCTGAGTTCTTCCGCTGCTCCTGACCTTCCGTGTCTGTCTCCATCCTCTCTCTCTCTCTCTGCGTTTCGATGTTAACCTGACTGCTGGTGTGAGGGAGCTGTCACTAAACTGCTGTCAGATCCAATGACTGTCACCCTCCAGCTCTGGCAGCACAGGTTTTAATGAGCCCCGCGGTCGACACGGCGGTTTCTGGACGGGCGCGGGTTGGTGGGGGGCAAAGGGTGATACTCGTGGGAGAAGAGGTGGGGGTAAGAAGGCAATTATATCTACTCTGAGAACGTGTGTGGAGCTTTGTGAGCTGTTACAAACGAGCTATGCTGAGGAATGAACCACATCCCTCCTCACTCCATCTGCCAGAGTACAGATGCTTCAAAACATCAGAGGGAGAAAGATGGAGGAGACTGCAGGAATGACACCTCAGTTTCCAGGAGGATATATTCCTTTAGCAGGCAGCTAAGGATGCTGTATTCAAACTAGAGATGCACCGATACCGATATCAATATCGATATCAATATCAGTATCGGTCCTGATATTGAAGAAAACTCTTGATCGGGTATCGATGACAATATTCCCAATCCGTAACAGCAGATCTATTCAGACTATTTCTATGTTTTATTCTCTGATTTACTATGTATTTTACTCATTATTTAAAATAAAATATTATTTCTATTATATAAATATATATTTATAATATCTGGTCATATATACTATATTTATCACATATAAATAAACATTTTTCATATATTCTAAGTTAAATAAATACATAAATTTTTAATTAAATTATATATTTATTATGTTAAATTATGATAAACATTTAATAATATTAAATACTTTCTGAATCTGTGATCCATTTTAAAGAAGTTTATTTTTTACATATTTGACAGAGGTAGTCAACATATTGTTTTTTTCAGTTTCTTTACTATTTAATTTCATAAATAATGAAATAATGTGTTTCTTTAAAAAAGTCTTGATTGGCTAAATGAAAAATCTGTTACAAGTTTTTTAAAATACATTAATTATCAGAGTAATAGTTGCAGCACTAATATTCGATATTAAACGTGGTTCCTGTCTAGACTTTGAAATTCAGTGCAGGCTGCAGAAGCACATATTTTATCAAGCATAGATAAACAAACTTGTATAGTTACATGAATCGACTGTTAGCAATCTGAACATTGATGTGTTGTAAAAAAAACATGTTTTTCTGCAGAAGGAGCTGAAGCGTCGTGGATTTGAGAAGCGGAGTGAAGTGGGAAACTGTTCACAGAGTTTGTAAATGCCTCTTGGAAGAAGAGGGTTCCTCTGCATCGTTCTTGGCATTCCCCCTCCTGCGGCTCACGACTCCCTGCTATGCAAGAACGACTCCCACAACACTCATTTTCACTCCTTCACAAGCAAATACAAACAACAGCTACTACTACTAGGCCTTTAAAATCTTCTCTTTTTTTTCTTGGAGCACCTACACAAGCTATGGATCACAGATTGTGTTCCATTGCACTACATAAGGTCTTTTTTTACAAAAATAACGTGTTACAGAAATTAAATCTGTTCTTCGTGATGCAAAAGCAACAGCTTTGCAAGATCTCTCCTGGAAATATAATGACTTTCCACATCATTGTTGGCCTCAAACATCTAATTTATTTCAAACTGCATGTTCTCTTCCTTAAATGTGTTTTATGGGAAACTAAAGAGTTATGCTTTTAGGCATCCAGGCGCAGCAGGAGCACAGCGGGTGGCTGCAAAACATCAAATGAGATCAGCTCCAGCAGCAAGGGCGAATCCCATCTGGAGGTCTCTGTGAGCGGACTGAAGAAGACGGAAACACCGGTGAAACTTTCCGCCAAATACTTTAAACTGACACATTTTTACCATTTTCTTCCTACAGATCAGGAGGCATCCTGCTGGAGTTAATTGGATTCATTGCATGAATATTACAAGGCACCAGAGATCAACTAATTTGCTCTCAAATGTGACTAAAAATCTCTGGAGTGCAACGTTTTTTTCCCCCAGTTGCACTGGTGTATCCAACATAATGACTGTTTGGTTCCTGATGGATTTCTCTTGTTTTGTCACATTTAAATGTTTCAGATAATATAGTAAACAGCCAGAAAAGGATAACTTGAGTAAATAGAAGAGACAGTTTTCCAATCATGCCACTTAGTCCCAATTCTGATCTTTTCAACCCCCCCAAATTTTAATTTTGCCACTAAATTTAATATATGATGTTTTCAAACTCTGAATTTTAGGGTTATGTTGTGAGAAATGCACCATAATTTTGCACCAAAAGGCTCTTGCTATTAATTGTGCTTTCTTTTTATTAGATTCCTTTGTGTTGTTATGATTTGATGATGTCGTTGCCGCCATCGCTCCCATAAAATCAATCCATAAACGGCTCCATCCATTGCTACTTCTGCAAACAGTGCACTAGATGTATATTTGGGTCATAAACCATTCACACAGAAGTCTGATTGTGATCGCCCTTAATTACTGGCACAATCGTGTAAAAAAAAAAAAGAATTTCAGCACAAAATTTGAATTGAGAGTCATATATTAGGGCTATTGTAGACAAAATGGGAGTAAATTTTCATCAACAAACTCAAATGTTTTAATTAATCTCAGAAATTTTCCAGAAAAAAATGGAAATTTCAGAGCTTCAAAGGTCAAAAATGTTAAAAGTTTGAAAATTAAAAATTTTTTCAAGAAAGTTTTGGATTGATCTAAAAATTTCAGTTTTTTTCTCACAAATGTTCAACTCTGGGTCTTTCATTTGGACAATAAAGCATCTTAATTATACGTATCCTCTAGCAGCTGGAGGTTGAAAGCTGAAAACTTGTGTGCTGAAGCTTCTTGGTTCTCCACCATGCAAAACGTTGATGATTAAGTTACTGACTTCATTACGCCACTAAATAATATTTATGAACATCCTGCGTATCCTTGCAGGGTTGTGAGATGCTCCCTGGACAGGTCAATATATTTTTCTTATTTTAAAATATTCTTCATTTTATTTTGCTTGAGATTCCCTTCTGTATAGCAAAGGAGGTGAAAACAGCTTGCAGGGAACAAAGCAATAAGTATAAATTTACATAAATTCACATGTTAATGCGTTCATCATATCCAGGGGACATGTTTTCAGAAGAGAGTATCACAAACAAATGAATAATGAACAAATATTAGCTGAGATGTGTGGGATTTAAAATTAGAATAAACTACTCAGACCTCCAGAGTCCAATTGTGTGCTGATGAAAACGCATTAAAGCCCGCAACAGACACACGCCTGGAAACTAACGTTGATCAAAAATGTCATTTTTTAATCCATAAAGTCCACTGATGGCGACCCGAACACCTGTGTCCGCTGCTGGGAGCGAGGATGGCCACAAACGCCGGAGAAACGCCACGTTTCTCCCTCCAGTCACATCCAACCCAGCAGATGAACACAAATGCAGCCACAGCGGAGCGCTGCGCAGTAATTAAACTGAGACGCCGGGTCAGCACTCCCAGGAGCCGGCGGAGTGAGACGGAAAAGTAAATTTTACTCTCTTCAAATTGACTTTAAGGAAATAATCATATTGAAACAGAAAAAAAAATACTTTTTTAGGCACCACAATGTGCAGTGATTTACCATCCAGGAAGAGAGATGATGAACGTGGTGAGTAAAAGGTGAAAAACCTGCGTTACCTTTCCGAAGCTCCCTTTTCCGATCGCCCGCAAAATCTGGAAGTGGTCAAAGTTTACTGTAAGGAAACAGAGACAGAAGCAGAGTCAGGAAACAAATGGAGGTTCGGTTCCAACATGATGTTTGACATTTTAACAGAACAAGCAACGTCAAACTCCAAATGTAATGTAGAAAAACTGAGGCAATTAAAGCTTGTGAAACAATAAAACTTAAAGGGGAGGTATTACATATTTTACAGGCACAAAGTGCCATTTTACAGCACAATAAAGTTCCTATTTCACCTTCAGTTGGTATAAAAATTATATTCCGGACTATGGAGAGCACCTCACTATGAGCCGCACCCACAAAGTTTTTTAAAAAAACTGGAAAAGTCCATATACAAGCCGCAAGTTAAGTTCCTTAATAAATCTGCTATTCAGGACGCAGCCATGCATCTCCAACACCGAACCCTGGATTCATTCACGCTGGGCTCACGTAACGATCTGTACTACCAGGTCGCTAGACTGCAACTTAAGTAGTAGTTTGTATGGTGTTGCTAATTGCTGCTGCTAGTCTGCAGGAGCTGCTTTGTGAAAGCAAGATTTTCGACATCTGACCCAGTTCAGGCACAGAATGGTTTCTGGTCTCGGTCTTATCAAACATCTACGGTCTGAAAAGGTGTGTGTGAACATTTTCCCGTCTCTCAGTGCATGAAAAGCTTCTGATCTCAAGTGCAGGCGCTGACGAAAGTCAGAGAAATCAGCCGCGCTGCACAGATGATGTGCTTCCACTCGCCGGCCCCCTCCTGGCATCCCATGCTCCTGATTGAGATTTGCCGCTGACCCTGCGGTGCAAGTCTGCCGGTGTAGCCGTGGTCCAGGCAGATGTGGCCACAGCAGGGCGAACGGCAACTCCAGCGGCGTCGTGGTGGAATTTCAACGGGATTTTAAGCTCTTTTTCAGGAAGCAATCAAGAGGGAAAAGACAAAAACCAGCACGCTTGGTTGCTCTGAGCAGACCGATGGCCTGGAGCTTCCGGTTTCCTTCATGTTTGTGTGTTGTCTGGAAATCAGGATAATCCGGTGTGGATTCTCCTATTTTAGACTTCTGTGCGCAGCTAATCCCACCATAAGGCCCGGCTCTGATTTCCCCCTGGTTCTGACTCTGAGACAGTACCATGAACACAGCGTTTTGTGTGGTATTAGAAAGAGGATTAAGAGAAGTGTGAGAAAATGTAAATGCAGCGAGCCGGGTTCACACACTCAGCAGTTTCTTTTTTTAAAGGATTCGTTTTTTCCATCTGACTCAGAGACACGATGAAAGCAGGGATTCGCTGGACAGAATAAAGATGTCGGAGCGGCATTTAGCAGCGCTGACTTAAAAAAAAAAAAATCTGTTCAATATTTAACTTCCAAGTTTAGCAGGAAGAAATCTGAGCCTGAACTCTTTATTTTCTCTCAAGGAATATTTAAGGATTTCATCTGAAAAGAGAAAAGAAACAAAAACTGGGAGGAGAAAATGTGAAAACTGTTTCTAGACGATTGATTTAACGGCTTCAATTCATTCTGGTTTCAGGTAATCAATACATTTACCAAACTAAGACATTGGGGATTTATTGATTAACCTGGGACATCCATCCATCCATCCATATATTTCAAATCTACTCATCAGCTTTGAAATCACTAAAAGGTCCATTTCTCTCGTGCTGAGTTTCTGTTGAGACCCAGCCAAGTTATGACTTAAACCAAACTAATCTGTCGTCACTATGAAACGCTCCACTTCTCTCAAGACACACAGATGTGACGCTGATTATGACTTTTTTAAATAAAAGTCAGAAAATCAGGAGAAATCTACTGAGCAACCGATCACACTGAGTTTTTCTTTTTGTTTTCTTTCTAACGATTGATCCATGATGGCAGCGCTTCCGCAAAGCATGAGTCAGCGCTAAATGTGAATCAAAACAAAAAGAAACCCTGATTTTTCAAGGCCGGTCCGTCTGAAAGGAGTCGCTCTCCAGAGTGAGGAGGAGACGTCGCTACATGCTAAGAGGGTAATTGCTGTGGATGTAGTGTTTTCCTGTAGCGATCCCTTTCTGTGGCAGCCTGGCACCCACACACGCTGGGAGGAAGAAGTATGTAGGAAGCAATGCAAGTCCTATTATACAGGCGTACAGGCAGCACAGAATGAACCGCATCTGCTCAACAGTGACCGAGGAGAAGTTCGTACCGCAGCACATAAATAGGATCACGACATCTTCAATGGGACCTATTACACAAAACTCACATTTTGGAACTTTCATTTGGGTTTCTACTGGTTCTAAAAGCAGCCAAAGTTCTTAAAAATAATCAGATTAATTTTAAAAAATTAATGTTTTTATGGCAATAAGTTAAATGGTTTTTTCTTGGTGTCTTAAAAATTAGCAGTTTCAAAAACTTCTCGAATGTAACGTTACAAATCAGCGGCAGGCGCGGTCTGTTACCTAGCAACCCCAGCAGAGTTTCGCCCGTTACCGAGCGGAACGCCAGCATGTCTGGTCAGCTGGTTTTACTGGTGTATGCCGTGTACAATGGCTGCTGGAAAATACAGGTGCTTTGTTATTGCCGTACCATCCAGAAATCACTTGATGCGCTCCTGTTCCAACTGCTTCAAAAACAGCCTGAGTGCTTTAAAAAACCCACCCAGCTGTTTTTGACAATAATTTAATATGTTTTAGTATCGGTTAAATGAGCCGTTTCAAAAACCTCTGGAATGTAAGATCACAAATCAACAGGCACTGCGCCGTTATCTAGCAACCCAAGATGAACTCTAAGATGTTTGATAATAATAATAATAATAAATTGTATTTGTAACGCACCTTATATTTCAAAGAAATCTCAAAGTGCTACAGAGACTAAAAAAGATCAATTGTAAAGCTTACAGTAAAACATAAAATAATACATATCACACCAAGTGGCACCAAGTGGTACAGCAGGTTTGATCACCTGCTGTAAGCTCTGTACAATGGCTGCTGGAAAATACAAGTGTTTTGTTGTTGACTTATCATCCAGAAACAACTTGCTGTACTATTGCTTGTTGTGCAGGAGACTCCAATTCTGCTTTTCAAAGTTTTATGGTTGTGTAATTGCACATAGATTTGCAGGCATTTTTACAGCATGTGCGAGTGTAAATGTTGAGCCAGTTCATTTGAATTTAAAGTGACATAACACCCTAAACAGATCAGAAAAGGCAGAACTGAGTCAACTGAAATCTCATTGTCCAGGAATGATTTGGGGCAAAAACTGTAATGAATATGTAAACTTATCCCAACCTATTCAAGGAACCCTTATACGTCACCTTTAAAAGTAAAAGACAAAAAATCAGTGCGGCTTCTGATGAACTGCTTTTCCTGTCAAATATTAAATATAAACTCCAGCCAAAGAGAAACCATTTCGCTCACAGAGCCACGAGACCCGACTTCTTCGCAGGAACATTCGCAGCGAATACCAAAGACCTTAGGAACCTCTGTCTGAGACTGATGTGAAAATTACAGCAATCAACGAAGCATTGCTGAGCGTTTCTGTAAGCTGCAACGTTTCACAATCAAGTGGTGCTTTAGGAAAACAAAACAACAGTTGCATGATGGTGAGCGAGGCCTGGGAGGAAACCAGCATCTTTACAGCGCAGCATGCTGGCGCCATCAAGCACTCTCAGGTTTCTCTGGACACTGCGCTAAAGACCACAGCCAAATGGATCCAAAGCCTCGGCAGAAAGCCAGTTTCTATATTTTATCACTGCGTAACGGGAGAACGACAACCTTCTTTTTTCTGTCTGGGTGCTACAATCTGCTGACCCAGCAGGACTCTGCACTGATCAGACACGGAGGAGAACCTCGTCGATGGGTGTTTGTCTCCTTTCGGGAAGCTGCTGTTGGCAGAAAGCCCGAGTCGAGGTGCACAGGAAGTGTGAGACTGACAGCGGCGTGCAAACAGAAAGGGCTGAGAAAATGCTGGTCGTGTCTGTCCTTCAGATTACTCAATCAGGACTGAAACGAATAATCAAATTAGTTGTGAACTAATCTAGTGATCCATTAATCCAGTGGTTCCCAAAGTGTGGGGCGCGCCCCCTATGGGGGGCGCAGTGCTATTGCAGGAAGGGCTTCACCATCCAGCTCATTTTATGACAGATTTCTGATTGTTTCTTTCCTCTTGAATTGGTGATTGCGTAGAAAATTTTAATCAAAATCTCAGATATGATAATTAAAGTCTGTAGGAAACATATTTTTATGCAGACAAAAGGTTAGAGGAGGTGAAGCACAAAGAGGACACCTTCAGACGATGCAATAAGATCAAACTGTCTGGAAGCACAAAGACGAAGATCACAAAAACATCTATGGCATGTAGAGATGAATACAAACTTAGGCTGTGTATTCATATTTTGATATAAATTATGAATCCTGAGATAATGTAATTTTCATGAGACATTTTTTATTAATCATCATTACAGTGGCTGCTCCCGGCACAAAGAGCGTATGAGAGAGGAAGAGGAGGAGCCATCGATCAGCAGAAACAATTTCACCACGTTTCTAAGATTTAATATTGGAAAAAGACAAAAGGTGAGATTAAAACATCACAGTTTTTGTGACATCTCCATAAAATGCATATGTAGGGAAAACTCAAAATAAACAAAATCACTCAGTAATGTTACAAGAACCGATTTAGATGTTATTGTGTGTGAAACAGTAAGAAAACACAACCAGTACTCAGTGAAATGTGAAACCAATTTTAAATTTCAGAGCAATGACAGAAGATGTTTGCTTCATAAAACATGTCAACTTCCAAAAGTGGAGCAAAAACGTGTCTAGTCATCAAAATAAACAAAGATGACCCAGAGATGATTCATTCACCTGAATCATTTTCAGATGAAAGGTTTCTTCTGAATGTTTTGAACGGTCTAGTCAAAGTCCTGATTAAATAAGTATCTGACTGAGACCGCATTCCTGCAGCAAGAAAACGCAAATCCGCTTTCTTTTCCCCAAATAAGATGGAAAACTGGTCAACAATTATAAAATAAAAGCTCCAATATAATTCTAAGAAATATTTTT